CAATATCAATATCATTTGTGACAATGTTGTAGCAACAACTTACGTTTAGTTTGACAAACTGGGAATATCATTTCAAACAAAATTTGTTGTCTATACTCAGTTGCTCTACATGTATGTGTAATGTGAGTGTGTGTGTTTGGGTGTGTGCAGAAATAAAATAAATATTTTTGCATCCTTGTGTCCAAAGATTATCCTGCCAAATTTCATTGTCAGTGGGCAGTTCATTCCATCCTACCGTAGTCTTATTTCAAGTTCTTGAAGAAAAAATGAAGTACCCCCCGGTAAATAGAGCAGTGAAAGAAACTAAGGTGAGTGAAAAAAGCTGTGCATGCTGTGATACAAATCTTGTTCGCTGTGGTGTTGCAAGAGGGTCTGCATGCTCTTTTCCGTAAGGCGTAGGCGGGCCTTTTAAATTTCCCGTAATTCGTAGGGAAGTTATTTTATTCAGCGTAATTCGTAGTGAGGAGGTGAAAATTTCACGTAAAGCGCAATCGAGCCAAAACATTCCCCGTAAATCGTAGTTCAGACTCCCAATTTTTCGTAGGCCGTAGTGGATGAACTTGCGGTTGACCTGTTGGGTCATCCTTGTACGCAGGATTTGCACGTAAAAAGTTGCAGAATATACCGTTTCAGAGGGTCAAGATTTCAAAATTTCCCAGGGAAGCATGCCCCCGGACCCCCTAAAATGTATGCGATGAGTCACGCCTTCGGTGCTGCAGTAAAATATTATTTTGCCCCCTCACATAGAAGTAGAGTCGCTTTGCTGCCGTCTCTGCTTTCCTTCTCCCATCTGGGTCCAGGTGTGGTGCACGATGGCTCGACCACATAACGCCCGTGATGGTCTGCATTTTATCACATTCTGGGTCCATTCTGACCCAGTATCAGTGCAGTTGGAGTCGTGACAGTGTTTAAAACAGAGAAGTCACTGATGTAAATCAGTTGACAAACAAAATAGACCAGTCAACTCTGCCTGAATTTGAGGCGAAGCGCCAGAATTTAGCGTAAAACGTTGCCTGCCTTCTTAAATTTTACGTAAAACGTTGCGGGCCTCGATGAATTTAGCGTAAAGCGTAATCAGGACCCCCCATGCAGACCCTCTTACAATATGTACATTATCATCGGTCGACCGTATTGGTGGGGTTATACCGCCCCTTACGAGGTGATACACCCTTTCGCTAGCTAATACAAGACGGGGTTCGCCAGGCCTCCGTCCGGGTGATGATGTAATTCACCATGTTGGCTGATACATGTACGAGACGGGTCTGCCAGGCCTCTGTCCGGGTGATTTGAAGTGAATCACCAACTCCATACAGAACGATTTGAACCACTCACACCGGGAAGATCCCCTACTCTTTTCGATAAGTATGGTGGGTTCTTTAACGTGCGTGGGGTATGGCTCTCCCCAAACACGGGACCTCCATTTAACGTCCTTGTCCGAGAAGACGTCCCTAGCCGAAGCTAGGTACTCATTTCCACCTGAGTAAAGTGAGGAAAGTCGTGTTAAGTGCCTTTCCCAAGGGCACAAGGTCGGTGACATGGGCAGGATTCGAGCCCGCGACCTCTTGGGTGTGAGCCGAACGCGCTACCGACTGCGCCACACGACCCGACTATGTACATGCTACATATACATGTAAAGGCAGGAGGCTCTGTTGAAGCCCACTATGTGAACTGTTCCTCTAAAAACTCTCCAGGATTGTTTGGTTCTACACAAGAGTACAAAAACTCTCTCAATTGCCCTAAATCAAAACTCACACAACAATAAACCATTCCAACTATTTTTCATATTATGGAGATATTACAGCCACATATGGAGTTCAAATAGGTTTTGTGAATCAGTCATTGTCACAGATGTGCTAGTGTTATTGCTTTCAAGATCATGTGAAATATTTTTCATAGAAATATAAGGTGCAGCATGCGCTATAGAATTATTTAATCCAGTTACATAAGGTTCTTCTAGTTAGGAGATTGTAAGGAAAGATCTTTATATTTACCAGGTGCTTGGGAAATGATCTGCGACAGTTCTTCTTGCGCTTGTGTGAAAGCTTTCTCAGCTTTATCCCACCGACTGCATATGCTTGACTCTGAAAAACAGTGAAAATGATAACTTGCTGCTTTACATAGGGCAGGAATGTTGTTCATTTTGTGTACAATCGATTATTGACTCGACATTTGATTGAAATCATTATTCATGCAAACTGTGGAAGACTGGAACATATTTAGTACCTATGTCAGTTGACTTCCTCCTGGCATAGTGCAGCGTGGCATCCGTGAGTAGGTCTAGGCGATGGGAAGGCGTCATCTCTTTGGTAACTCGGAAAAATGGCCTCAAATAAGACCATAGTCTTTCCATCCCTTCCCCATCAGTCAGACCAAAGCCTTCCATTCTTCTTGGGCTGTACAGTATCTAAGAAGAAATTGAAAAGACCATGATCAATGTGAAAGTGCAGTTTTCTTGCCATGGTTT